ATAGGATCATATGAAATAAAACATTTAAAAATCTTGATTATTGTTCAATATCAACAACAGTTATAATTTCTAACATTTCTAAATTCGATGTCAAAATAAAGTCAGCTTCTTTTTATTAATTTAAATGTTATTCTTATATTATGCTCTATTTCTTCTTTGATCTAACATGAGTTTATTTTAATGCAATCTTTCTTTCAACATTTAATAATTTATCAAAAGAAATAAAACTATTAGGACTTTCTTTATCGATATTAAAATAATTATCAGTAGAAAAAAAAGTTGGTATTCGAGAATATTTATTAGCTTCTTTAAATGTATCTGGTTGTAAATTAAAAAGTTCAAAATCATTTTAAGTAATCAAAATTCCATTTACATGAGCATAATGTACACAATCTTTTATTTTTGTTCCAATTGTAATATTATAATATTTTTTTTGTTCATTTTAAGTTAATTCAACAACTAAAGAAAAGACTTTGAGTACATGATCTGATCTTCTATAGTAATTTACATCATCTTTTGTTGATCTAGGTTTCTTTTTTGAAGCTTTGGCTTATTATGACTGTTGTGGTTATTATGACTCACCATCCTAATTTTCTTAAACATCTTATTCAGCTAAATGAAGTGTAATAGCATTTCCATTTGTGTTAAGTGTAGAAAATTAATTACAAATTGAACGTCTTGTTGAATGCTATACTTAAAGCTCCTCTTCTATTTTAAGTTTTTTCTATTCAGCTACGGTTTTCTCTATTTATAATTATATTCCTGCTTCCTTATCAGACTTTTTAGAGCTGCAAATTCCCATTAATTTATTGATTAATAAATCATTCTTCTGATACATTATCTTAAATTCAAAGAATTCAAAACTTGCGACAATGTTAATTTCTATAAAAATCAAGTAAGAAACTGGACTTAATAATATCTTAATCTGATCCATATAAGAAAGAGTTCATAACCAAAAAATTGCTAAAAATTACTTATAATTAGGATTCAGATAATTTAAGAGAAAAAACGAAAATAATTCTCAATTAATTATTTTATTCATGTTATTTTTAATATAGAAATTATCGTTAATTAAGAGTCTAAACATTTGGTAGATTCTTCTCATATAATAATCATATGGTTAGTATAACTTATTTTAAATATTATGAAAAATAAAGAAAATTATTATGTCAAGAATTTTACTATTTAATTTATTTTCATTTGATGTAAAAAATTAAAAACTAGATTAATTGGAGAAGAGTGGTGAAATAAATTTAAGTCTGATAAATTTATTGAAAAACTCTACACTATTAATATAAAAAAAAACTTTATAGAAATTATAAAGAATATGAATTGGTTGATGAGATATTAGAATCCTGAACTATATTTTAATTTATCAACTAATTTATTGAATTTAATTAAATCTTTAGAGTTATTTAAATTAATGAAGTATAATTATTACAATTATATATTATATAAAATATTTTAATTTAAAGCTTGAAGTCTAAATAAAAATATGAAGTAATTATTTAAATTTTATAATAATCTGTATGATTCTTTTTTTTCATATTTAATTTCAATAATATTAAAATTTTTCTTATTTTTAGTTTTGATTATAAATTTTCAAATTGAATGAATACGAAACATATTACTTACCAACATTTGATTATCATAATGAATAATTATGTATAAATTAATCAAAATTATCATGAACACATTCAAATAATAAATTTTAAGATATTGTTATTTATATACTTAATTTTTGTTTAGTTTTTTCTTGGAAATACATTGAAAGAACAGAGAAATATTTTAACATTCACTTAATTAATATGAATTTAAATTTAAATTTTGAAGATTATGAATCAGCTCTCAATGCGATTGAGACAAAGAGTTTAAAAATGGGTGTTTCTGATCCATTAGATCCTTAAATGAGCCAAGTATTTAGAGTTAAAATTAATTCAGATTTTCTATTTATATGGTTTAATTGAATTTAAAAAGATTGAGAATACATTACCATTTTAAGATGTAACATAAGAATTCAAAAAAATTGATGAATTTTTAACAGTAGCTGCAGAGATATGTGAAGACGATGATTTGTTAATAAAAATATATTCATTAATTGGAGATTTGTATTTTCTGTAAAACATTTTAAATATAATTAGAGTTGATTTAAATGATATTGCAGAACTTAGTTATTTGGAAGCTATCAAAATAAGTAGAGATCCAAATTAACAAATATAATTATATATAGAAATATTGTAATTAAGAATAGTGTTCACAAAATCAGAAGGAACACCTGAATTATTTTAGAAAGCTAAATAATTAGCATTTGATAATAATTCTCATTTATTAGATGTTATTTTCAAATTGGAGGAAGAATATGTTGTTTCAATATAAGATAGTTAATACAATTATAGATAAGATAATACTTAAGGAGAGAGTAAATTAAGAACTAGTCAAAAATATAAGTAAATGAGGAATTTGGGTGTGTTTGGTAGTTATAAGAGAAGTAATGCTAAAGATGAATTAATGAATTGAATATTATTAATAATAATTAAATGACTCATAGGTACTATTTTAGTTATAAGAAATCTTAAAGTATGTTATATAATGTCAATTGTTAGTTGAAACACCAAAACGTTATTAATATTAATCAATTGATAAGTTACCATAATTACCATTAATTACATCAGATGTTAAGTAATATTGTATAACTTATTCAGATAGTCTTGGAAAGTTGGTCATAAAGAATAATCAACAAATTTAGGAGTTTTGAGTTTTCCTGGATAATTGATGAGTGGAAAATAGAAAATTAATTAAGATGCCATTATAGTAGAAAAGAGACTAAATTTCTATGGAGTTGCTGATGGACATGGAGTAAATGGTGAACGTGTTTCTGGATTTATTCGTGTTACACTACCTAAATATATTGAACAAAGTCTTTTAGAACCAAAAGAGACATTAATAAATAGTATTTTATAGACAAATAATGAATTGGTGAATAATTCAAAAATTGAAACTGTCATAGCAGGTTCAACATTATGTTGTGGTTTGATTAAATTAAATAGATTATACATAGCCAATGTAGGTGATAGTAGATGTGTTTTAGCAAAATAAACTGGTAATTCTTGGTAAACCATTGAATTAACAAAGGATTAAAAACCCTCTAGAGAAGATGAAGCAAGAAGAATATTAAAAGCTGGTGGACGTATAGCTGCTCAATAAGATATTTATGGTAATTAAGTGGGTCCACTTAGAGTCTGGTTAAAAACATTGAATGCTCCAGGATTAGCTATGACTAGAGCAATAGGAGATAGAATAGGTGCTTAAGCAGGTGTAATACCAACACCTGAAATAACAGAGTATGAATTAACAAATGAAGACAAAATTTTAGTATTTGCTTCAGATGGTATTTGGGATTTTTTATCTTCCCAAGAAGTAGTTTCAATTTTGGGTTAATGTTATAGTAAAAATATAAGTGCTGAATTGGCAGCATAAAAATTACGAAATTTAGCAGTAGATGCATGGAAAAGAAATAGTTTAGCTAGAGATGATATTACTTGTGTAGTCTTATATTTATGAATTAATTAGATTTCATAATAGTATACTTATATAATATTGAATAATTAATAATTTCTAAATTAATTAGTTAATTCATGTTCTTATAATAAATCCAAAAAATTAATTTTGTATATTTTTTTATTAAAAAGTCTTTGAAAAATAATACTATTAAATTTATCAATATTTATATATATTATTTAAAATATAAATGACAGCAATATATAGATTTTCAAATAGATCCACATTAAAATTAAACTGTAATTTCTAATAATATTATAATATTTTAATTAAAATCATTCTTTTATATATATTATATTATCCAAAATAATTCAAATTAGATGATCATCTAATTTTATTTTACTAAAAATCATTTTTTTTAAATTCTTCTTTAAATAATTATTTATATATTTAATAATTACAAAAAGACATAATATATGTAGTAATATTAACTAATCAATACTCGAGAATTTCCTAAAGGTAAATTGTTAACTAAAGAATGGCATATACGCATTAATAATGGTTTAACTTATGTATTTGCTGTTGATCATGATTAGGATTTCAAAAAAGGTTCTGTCAAATTAAATAATTGCATACTTGAAACTAAAATGAAGTATAACCAAATTTATTACAAAGTCGTAATCTCAAGTTCCCTATCAAAATTGAAAACTTACAATTTGAGATAGTAATTGTATAAGATTAATGTTTTCTGCTTATGAATGGAAGAAATGTAGAAATAGTTGAAAATCCTTAATTGGATTCATAAATGATATTCCAAAGTCAAAATTAATAATAAAATCCATATTCAGAGAATCAAATTTAAGAAATACTTGTGGTATGTGATAGTATCATTTCAGCTTTGTTTGATATGGATTTTAATACTAAATAACATCATATCACAGAATAATTATTAAGTTTGGAAGCATTTCTAAATTATACCTAAAGGTAAGATCTAAGAAATCAAATTTAAGATAAAATTCTCTAGTTTAATTTAATTCAATAATAAATGGTAGAGTAAATAAATTATGAATAAAATAACTAATAAGTAAACAAAAACGAAGAAGTTAAACAATAAAAAAAAGAAGAAGTAAAACCATAAAAACCAAAAAGTGAAATTTAATAAGACATTTGTTGTATTATTTGCATGGACAAAGATATAACTCATGCATTAATACCATGTGGACATTAAAAGTATTGTGAAGAGTGTGCTCTTATGTCTATTAATTTAAAGAAATGCAGTTTTTGTTAATAACCTATAACAAGTAGTATTAGAATTTTTCGTTGATTTTATTATTAACATTCTTACAAATTAATAAAACTTTCATTATATTAGAATTACTAGTTTTTATTTTTTATATATCATCTGAGACTAATTATATATGTTTGAATTGATATAATAAATAAAATTGGAATTAATTTCTTCCTTTATAATATCTATTAACCATAATTAATATTTTAATATTATGTTTGCTCGTTTGATAACAAGAATAGCAATGCCTGTTTTAAGATGTTAGAGAATTTAATTTGGTCCAGCTTTGACAATCTTGAACAATAGATTAATAATTCATAATCTAACTTAAATTAGAATTCCTGTAATGGATGAGTTAACAGAATCTGATTAAGACGAAGAATTACAGTAAATCTTAATTAATCAACTTAGGGATAGCATTAGTTTAACATCTGCATGATTCTTATGAAAATATTCAAATCATTATTATAATAATTTAGCTGTTATTCACCTCAATACATTATATATTAGCATATATAAATATTTTAGATAATTATTAAGCATTACTTTAATTAGATTTATAAACAATTTATATAGTACCTATTTGAATGAATATCTTGGATTGAGATAGAAATTCATTATATCAAAGTCAAATCACATTTAATGTATTAAATAATAATACAAATAAAATACAGATTAAAAATAACATATTTTTATTATTTGAAATTAAATTCAAGAACTATTGTAGAACACATTTTCTTTATAATTATATTTTGTTATATTATTCTAATTGAATTTTTAATTGTAAATTTAATAGGCTTATCTCCTTATTATTTTTGAGAAAATTAGAAAAAAATCTATAAATATATATTGATATTAAGAGTCCTTTATTTATTTGAATTTATTTTTATATATTAAATAAATTAATTATTTATAATGATGTAATCAAAATAGAAAAACTATCTATTTACTTGAACTAATGAATGATTATGATAACAGAATAATATTTATTTTTATTTAAATATATTTTTCAAAAACTTGAACTCATAATTTATAAAGTGGGAGTTTACTATTAATATTATTTAAATAATGTAGAGATCCTTAATAAATTTTATATTGTACATTTCTATAATTCATCAAATCTTTATCCTTAAAGAATTTTAGATTCATGGTTTGGAACTTCAAAATGGTTTTTGTACCCTTAAATACTAAAAATGAATAAATATTATATAACACTAAATTCACCAAAAAAATTAATTTTTTGGACAAGATGAAGAAAAATTTCATTTTGAATTTAAATCTTATATTTCATTTCTAATTTTATAGTTTTCCAGCCACCAAAGAGACAATCTTAACATTAGTCTTTTTATTGTCTAAAGGGAGAATTAAACAAGGTTTATTAGTAGAAAATATAAGTTTTTTTCTTACTACTTTGCTTCTGTAAAGAAGTATTATAGTTTTTGCAGTAGCATATTTCAATTATAATTACTAAGCTGCCTATATTTTCATACTCATAAATACTTGTTTTATTTATAATCCATTTTGAAAAACTTTATGAATCAAAGCCTTCTTTTTACTTGGAGGAACTTTGATATAAGATCGTTTCTATTAAGACTATTCTATCATAATAAAGAAAATATTCAAATTAGATTTAATTTCTTCGAGATTATAACATATTGATAAATGAATATCTATAATTGATAAATAAGATATTGTTAAGGAATTATAATGAATAGTGTAAAAAAATTAATTATAAACACTCATTAAAATAAATTAATGGACCATTATTCAAATTAAAAAATAATTAATTGATATTACATGTATAGACTAATAAGAGTATTAACTAACTCATCTTTTAATGAATAATTTTTAAACTCATCCATAATTTATAATTTAATATTTAATTTTTATTTTTACTTTATTATTTACTTATAAACATTAATTGATTATTATAATAGAGTATATTGATGTTCTATATAATAATACAAAAAATTCAAATAAAAAAGAAAATTAATAATTTAACAATTTAAGATCTAAAATTAAGAATTTTGATATGATTCAAAGATATTTTATACTTGAAGAAAATAATTCTTACTCTTTTATATTAATAAATAATATAATTTAGAATTGATACTCTCATATTTATACTATATTTCTAGAATCTACTCCACATTGTTATAGCAATTCTATTAAATCATCTTCAAATTATTGGAATCCACATACATATACTTTTGCAGCCTGATATTTTAATCTATCTTACAAATCTCTTTTAGTATAATGCTATTTAATTATATTGAATTCGAATAAATTTAAATTGAATTAATTATTTAAATATTCTAAATCTTGTAATATAGGATAACCCAAAATTTAAGTTTTTGATGATACATTCAATATTAATTTAAATTTATCTAATTAATTATATTATTATTGAATTGGTAATCCATCTTAATACATAATTGAAAATATGGCTTTTCTAAGGAGATAATCACAAAGATCCAAAAATGGCAAAACACCAGTACCTTAACAAAATACATAATGCACTCCAGAACTATGATCATCTAATTCTAATCCAAAACCATAAGGTCCTGTAATTTCAAATCTCTTATGAGAAGCAGTATGAATGAATTTGCTTAAGTTTTTTTAGCCATTATATTTTTTAATCACAAATTATAAAACGTTTGATAATTGTGGCTATTAAGGTAATGGTTTAGTCCAATCCTTTTATTTGAAATACTCTATTAATTCATACCTATATTTAATATTCATTTCACTTAAACATGAAACTACTGTATAAGGTCTTTCTTAGAAATCTATTCCTATACCATAAGGTTTAATATAGAAATATCTACCAAACCATTATACTCCTTATATTGTTTAATTTACTTTAAAATCTTAATTAATAAATTTAAAGAGAGACACATTAGTTCCCATAGATTTAATTTCTTATAGTGTCCAAACATGAGATGGCTTCTTAAAATCTGTGACAGTATAGAGTATTGGACATGATTCATTTTTAAAATCACCTAAATAACGAGTTTCTATATAATTAATTGCAAAAAGAGAATGTTTATGTAATTAAGTATCTTTAATTGGATATGATCCATAGAAATAACGTCCAACTTCTCGACCTTTGATCTTCCTAAAAATATATTATCCACCTGGATGATTAAAATCACTGACATCATATACTGCTTCCCTAAGAATAATGTAAGTAATTTTAGGATAATCTTCAATCATTTCTTAATATGGAGTACCAGTATTCAGTTTTTCAATTATACTTTCATAAAGAGTTTATTGATCTTATTCAATTTAACTGTATTTAATTCTCTTTCGTGATATTGCAGATACTTAATAATAATAAAGCATTTCTATGGTGAATTTTATTAAAAACAATAATACATAATAGATTATGAATAGTCCAATATATGCTGAATCATATATACTAATTCCAATTATTACTTATACTTTTGTAATTATATACAATAAATAACCAAAATATTTATGAATGTATTTCACTTTATAAATTAAATATGTTCCATTATTAGATTCTAAATTATTTCTAGCAAGTAACCCTAAAAATATTTATGTTGTCATTATTAATAAAATAACAACTCCAAGAATAAAGTGAAGAATTATTTTAGTATCTTAATATCCTAATTATTATATTCTTTTTTATTATTATGAGATCATCCCAAATACAAAAAAGTAGGTTACTATAGATAAAAATAAAAATATCATGCCATGAACTCTAACATACTTAGGATAACTTTTTAATTGCCTTCCATAAAATATACCAATATCAGAAATAAATGACCAAAATAATAACATGAGTATAACATGTCCATTAAGAACTAATTTGTCCCAATAATCTTCTTGATAGGATTGTTTATTCTTAGACAATTCAAATTGAAAAGCACCTCTATTAGCACTATGGTATTATTGTCCATTTCGACCAAATGCATAAATACATAAGGTGTCTTTTTTTTATGAAAAATCAAAATCATATTTATCAGAAGTCAACAATTTTCGATGAACTCTAATGACAAATAATTCTGTAGAATTATAATACACAAAACCATCTAAAATCCAATCTTATGTTCCATATAATTAAGTATCTGATAAGGGGGCTGTATTTTTGGTTCCAAACATATCATCAATTTATACATAATATCCTTTTTCATTGTTTATAATAACTGTTTCTATTTTAATAAGAAGCATATCAGTATTTTCCATTCTATATTAAAATATAATACTTACTTATCGTTATTAAATCCCAATCCAAACCAATCACATAACGATATCTCTATTTATAAGATAATATTATCATTTTTATCATATTCCCACTCTAAATTAAACTCATCCTTTATTAAAATTTATTTATTTAGCAATTTAGTTACATTATTGTAATTATTAGTATTGCAATAACCATTCAAAACTTGAATACTTTTTTCATTACACATAGTGCATTAATAAGCAAATGGTCCATTACATGTAGCACATGTATAATGACATTAGTAAGTTTGAAGTTAGAATCTACCATATTAGGTATAAGTTTCAAAATCTATATTTTTCTCATTTATGGCATAAAACATCTCAACATTAGAATATGGATCTATTAATTCATCTGTAGGATCGTCTGAATTTGTGGATTTTAGAAATGAAGAATATAAATATGTATCATTTATTAACCCATCTAAAATATATATGTCTTGCTAAGAGTCTACATTAGGAGAAGTAAAAGAAATCTTATTTTGCTCTAGAGTATCTTCAATTTTTAAAAGTCCATTAACATTAGACATCCTTATAATATCAGCATTTGAATATGTAGAACCAAATCCAATTAAACACCAGAATTATGTTTTGCAAGTTAAAGTAAATTAAATATTGTTATAGTCAACAAATTGATATTCCACTATCATTAGTCCATCCAACAATTATATCATAAGACATGGCTATAAAATCAATAATATTAATATATTCATAAATATAATAAAATGGATTAAAAGAAAAAAAGTCAACTTATCTAAGGATATTGCAATGGATTATTATTTTCAATCTTTTTGGGGATATATGATTATCCTTTGAACTCTGCAAATGCAACCTGGACAAAATCCTAGGTTAGATTAGACTATGCCAAATTCATAGGATAAAAGGCTTTGTGTTTTCCTCCTATGCTAGCTTTATTTTAAATTACATGTGCCTATATGGAAGATTGGGGATATAGCTATCCAACATAAGTATTGGCAGCTGCTGGAGTAGGCATATGTTATTTAAGTATTGTTAAGTATAAATGATTATTATGAGTTGATATATTCATGTAATTTTTAATAACTTTGGATAGTATTAGAGCCTTGGCTTATTTGTGTTTATTTTTATTAAAGTAACTTAATATAATCTATTAAATAATTCATCACAAATTCTAAATGTGATGAGTATCCATATTTTATAATGATTTTAATTTATTGAATGAATCATTTCTCAAATTTAAGGAACTTCCTTTACTCTACTTAGATTTCTATTACTATTATTGTACTTAATTCATACTAAACTGTAATATTTAGAATATAGTAGTTTATTCTCTTGAGATGCATCTTCTAATTTTGATTACCATTAATCTGAACAAAATTTCAATTACTTTTTAATTAGATATTCAAAATTGTTACTAATTTCTTCTATTATTTGATTAATTTTTGAAACACTTTCAAATTTCTGTATTAAATCATCACAAGTCTTTTACAAATCTACCATTTAAATTTTAGAATTTTAAGCTAAATATTGACATAATGAATATAAGTATGTTCAAATCTCCCTTACTTAAATCTCAAATATCTCTCATATATATTCTTTTAAGGTTTTCATCCTTTATTATAAATAGCAGTTAATATTTCTCTCTTCTATATATTCAATAAAATAAAACAAAAGTAATATTATTAATATTTATATGGAGGAATTATATTGTACTATATTTTTTAAAGAACTCAAAAATAATGATCCAAACCTTTAGAAAGGATGAAAATTTCATTTATTGGTCATATCCTTATTCCTACTCATTATGTATTTAACTCATTTCAATTGACAATACTGAAGAAGTGAAAAATAATGATTAATTTCTTATCAAATTAGCTTAAGAAGATCTTTCTCTGAAACTAATCTCTACTTCCTGAATACTCTATTCTAAGTAAAATGAATGAACTATAATGTATGGAATAAGCAATAGATCATCCTTATTGTAATTCAAATATATAAATGATAAAAGGGTGTTAGTAAAATAACTTTTGTTAAATAATCCAAAAAAATTTTAATAGAGGAACAATTTTAAATTCAGTATTTTGCATTGAGTTTATTTCTATTGGCTTATAGGGGGTCATTTTCTAAAATTATATATCAAACCCTAAAAATTTTGGTGAATTGATGAGTAAAATAATAACTCAAAAAATCAATAATAAAAGCATTTTTAAGAAGCATTATCTCTTATAGTTAGGTGATAAATTTAGCAAGACATTTCGGTAGACTCTCTTAACATTTTCCTTGTTTCAAGACTTCTAAGCCAAATAATCATTCAAAATTTTCATACCCATTTTCAGAAAATTGAACAAAAAACATAGAATAATAA